TTTTATTATTATTAATTTATTTTTAGACAATCGTGTTGCGATTAATATTTTCACTATTATTCCAGCGTTGCTAAGTTTTCATCTATTTTTAAGAAATTTCAAATCGGAGAAAACAAACCGGCATACACGCAATTCGTGCATTTGTATTATTCGATTTTCTCGCAGCAGATGAGAACGAATAAACGTAATGTAGTGATAACAGATCGACGATAAGGAGGGTAAATAAAAATAATATTAAGAGTAAACAAGAAATAACTATTTCCGTTTATTTCATTTTTCGTTCGATTTACACTTAATCAAATCAATAAACTGAACAATATCGATACGCGTAAACTCTAGCCGATCTATACTCCATTAAAATTGTTTAGTCAACTTGTGCAAAAGATGTCAGCACTGATTTGCGACACTGTTGCCTTTATCGATAAGCCATACTTTATGCCTTTATTTCTCTTTTCAATTTTATTCCCCGTGTTTCACATTTCTCTTCCTTCTTTTTCCCTTTATTTATCAGTTTGTTAAACTTCGCCATATATCGATTTCTTCTTGTGTGTACATTTTTCTACAGGAATAATATTTCGAACGAAAATACTGCACGCAACAATTACGTTCATTTTGTTTCCGATATCCATACGTCCAGCTTCTGATATACAAACAGACACGAGAAATTAAAAACGTTAAATAAAAATTTTTATTCAATAGAAGATAAAAAAATTTAATTTGAAGCAGAAAAATTGAAAAATATCTTTACAAAGGATTTAAGTAATTAAAACGATTCAAATTAATATAAGCAAATATTCATGTTCACGAAAATCATTTTTAATAACTATTTGAATAATAAAAAAGTTTAAAATTAAAACTCCGTACTTTTGCATAATTTCGAGTTATAGATCGACAAAAATGTTGTTTCATGCACGAATGTTAAATATAATTAGGAATTATGTGTAAATAAGAGTATGTTTATGTTAGATTAGATTAAGATTTTATTATAGGTTAGGTTAAGTTATTGTTATAGGTTAGGTTAAGTTATTGTTACAGGTTAGGTTAAGTTATTGTTACAGGTTAGGTTAAGTTATTATTATGGTTGTATCATAGGCTGTTATATCGTTAATATTGTATTGTTGTTACAACAGTTAAATATTTTATATAAAATAAGCAATATGTATGGAGGATAAGGAGAGATGGAACCCTTGTAATCCAACAGGAAAACAATAAAGATTTATCTAGCTATAATTAGAAATTATTACATAACCTCTATTTCCAAAATTCGTAGCTCAATTACAAATATTTTAACCCTTTGCACTCGACGATTTTTTGGCTAAAGAAGAAGGGGAGTTGAAAGATTTTCTGTCACAAAGCTGTCGATATTTTTCTGAACAGTGAATAAGAAGTCGTATGATAATTATCACGTAGAGCTATTTGATTTCGATACCTCGCACACCGTTAACATTATCTGAAATTTCCTATATTAATGAATTTAGAACTTCGAGATTTTATCAAATGGCGACTGAAGGGCGCCTCTCGAGCGCAAAGGGTTAATCCTCGCCTAGCCGACACCGGGTCACCGTTGACCCGAAATTTGAGCGTAGCTAAGGAGTGGCAAAGTCCTACGTTTGAAGACCCTACTTTTATCGTGAGATAATAACACAAATGTGTAACATAGATAACTGACTGCGTGGAGTCAAATTCTATGAATTTTCATAGTCTTCGCATATATAATACGAAATGTGCCAAAGTTTAAAATTTATATCTAAAAAAGCATGCAATAAAACACAATAACGTTATATGTACCCAGTGCACATGAATAAAAAATATATTTATAAAATTTGATGTTTTTCAAACAAATTGCTCTCCTCCCCATATTATAACTATTATTAGATAATATCCTGTACCAAAAAGTTAGGTGCAAAGCAGGTATAGTAAAAATTTAGGTACGGGTCAAAAGTGACCCGGTGTCGGTTCGCGCGTCGCTCATCTACGATGTCGGTTATTCGTGGATTAAAGGGTAGTTTGCACTGGCTCATCGTCAGATAAAGGTCGCACAAGATACATTTTCCGAGCAAGGTATAAGCATACGACTGTTATGTACATAAATATTTAATGGTAGGCATACATATATTCGCGTCACTGCGACGTTAGCATAACGTAGATCACGCGAATTTCAGCGAATTATGTACACAAATTTTTCCGGCACTTGAATGTTTCATGAGCATTGATCGCGGCGAGGAAAATTTCGAACACTATTCGCTACGAAAACCGAACTGACACTTTCGCAAGTAATTTAAGCGTAAACGGTTTTCTTATCGTTTTAACTTTCATGAGACTTGGAAGTTTAAGCTTCGAGACTTAAGAGGAGAGCGTGAATGAAAAATGAATAGTTTCCGTCGGAACGGTGTCTTGCGATAGTTCGAAGAGCAAGCGATTCGGAGTTTCCACGTGCAGCACCTAACCTAAACAGGTATTAAAGATCTCGTCACGCGAACTTCTGTGCAAACAGTTCTGTTCCTTTTGTCCGGAGTTGTTTGAGAACAATTCCTGTCTTACTCTCGTCGTTTCGTTGCACGGTGGGTTAGGAGACCCTAAGAATTAGCCAAAAATTATGTCGCCTAACGAACACTGCAACTATTGTGGCCCTAGGACCACAGTGTCCCAGGTCAAGTGGAGGACTGTTTATATCCTTATTGCCAACGTTCCTTGATTTGTATACACTCGTCATTACCTAGTCACCACTTGGGCAAACCTTAGCAAAGACCAATATATCACCCTTAAGACGATAGGCATAAGGACCCAAATTATTTAAACTTCCACCACCATAGAAGGACATATAACACACACAATATTATTAATAATATTATTAATACCCACACTAATATTATTCACAATCAAAAGGAAAACACACACCCACCACTTACATTTCACACCAACCAATCAGTAGACATACGAATTTGTAGCGTCCAAATCCCTTCGATGTACTAGAACGCTTATCACCCGCCAAATTAATATTGCGTGACTAGTTGTAATAATAAGGGTCCCGTAGTGTGTATTCATAAAAGAGAGCGTTTATTTATAGAAAAGTATAGAATAGTTATAATGGAGACGTTGAACGGAGTACCGTTTCGAACACGCGTTTATACGCGTAAGTAAGATGTTTCAAGGATCGGTGTCGAAGACGAACCGATTTCTCGAATTTGATCTATGTCGTGTCTCGTCGTGTCCTGTCCGGTGTTTTCTCCAGTTTAGTTCCGATTGGGCAAAATAAACGTTGGTGGTGGAAAAGTAAGGAGTTTTAATTGGACAGAGGGTGTGACGGAAGGACCTTTGGTTAAGGAGTAGGAAACTGTCAAGGAGCCGATTTTTGATGGTCAATGACGCGATTTATAAGCGGTGTCCGTCCGTCGCTCGTTGGGTCTGTCACACGTGGGTCCCATCTGTCGAGTCTGGTACTTGTAAAAATTCCTAAACTTTCGCCTTTACCTTTGCAACTTAATCCGCTAGAACGGCGGTGAGGCAGATCTATCCTCCGGAATTGCAGTCGCGATATAAAATATATTGTAAACCGTTAGGTCTGTTAAAAGTGTAAGCCTTAGAATAAAAATCATGTTATAAACACGCTCTCCGGGACGGAACACAGGTGTCCTACGAGGAGTTCTTCTCAAAAATCCCAAGAAGACAAGCAATCATCACGACCAAGGAATTCTACCTCAAATCTAAAGCAGTCAAGGCAAACCCACGACGATCAACTCAGTGCAATATAGTTTCTCGTAGTTATAAGCATCTAGTACGCAAATAGCATTGTACTTTTGTCGGAAACGTAATACTAAATTACGAATTTTAATGTTTAGTGAGAAAATATCTGAAGTTTTTATGATTTGTCTCACTTCCGATTAATCATAACATGCCATAACACTTTGTACATAAATAAATCATGTGTCTGGGGAATCTGTGGAATGTATACTTCAATGCTGATATGTCCCAATTTGCGTCGTGTCGATACGTGCTCGCACGAGACATCAGTGAATTGAGCTGCGCGACGGTTGGCAGCACTAGCGATAGTGCTCGTAAAATGAAAGTCGAATGGCGCGAAATATGAACTGCAGAAATGCGTAGTAAGAAACTAAAGACATAGACAACTAGAACAATTAAATAAAATTCTTAAATTATTATAATTCTGAATAAGTGTCGGTTATATTAACTCAGTGCAAAAAAGGTGTATTTGAAAATTGTATATGTAATTATAATAATATGTATATACTATATATAAATTGTATATAGTAATTATAATAAATTTGACATAGTTCTAGTATGTTTGAAATATCATTGCCAGAAATTGAACATATGTTTTGATATATTGTTTCGAAAACCACAACAATGTCATGTTTCACTGTTTTAATCAATATTATCGAAAATATAGCGTGGAATATATTTATACAGAATGCTACAAGAAAGAGTTTAAAATTTTGTAAAATTATAGTACTCTTTGAAATGGACAAATAAATTTGTAATTGACATAAATTTTAAAATCGATTCATCGTTTTTATCCATTTTATATTTTCAATATATTTTTTGAGTACTAATTAATACAATAATTTATTTGTATTAATAGTTGAAGAATATTTTACGGTAACTATAAAATGATCAGTTATCTTCTTCGTGATAAAAATTTCATATCCGTGTCAAATATGGAAAAGAAAATAATACGAAGAAGAGGAATTTATATTCAGAATTCATATTCCATTTTCTTCATACGTATGTATAGAGATATTAATGCATTTACATACCTCTATGGTTTTATTGCGCAGATGCCCCACAAAAATGTCATACTGCCTGGAAACAAAAGAAAAATGATTTTAATCTTTGTAATGTTTACGTATAATTAATGATACAACATATATTTGCTTTGTTTCAGTCAACATACCGCCATTTATCATGTACAACTTAAAATTACAGGATAGAAATAGATGGCATTACGAGATGAATTAGATACGTTAATTTATGTTATTAAATGTAAATTTATGCTCGCTCGATATAAGACATTTAAATTTTCACCCGCGACTATCGTGTTTCAAATTTTCGGAAGCATTTATTGTTTTCTCTCGTCATTTCTTTCTACTAACGTTTCCAACATATTCGAAGCACTGTTGACTTTTTGTCATCGCAAGGTGAAGGCCAAGGTGAAGCTCGGTGAAGTGCTCGTGTACTTGCTGATTCCTTCGAATCGATATTCTCAAAAACGAATCAACGAAAGAAATTTTAATACACGTTTTCAATTTGCCTTTGCTCCAGAAATCATCACATGTACAATTGTATTGCTATTTGTGTATTAAAATATGTCGGTATTATTAATATTTTATTAATAATAATACTGAATTGATAAAATTAAAATTTTTTAAAATATTCACTAATAACATTTTTCAAAATTTAAATGAAATTTTTGTATAAGGTTACATATAGATAGATGAACATATAATATAACTGTAAAGTGTGTATATACATTAGAAGTTTCAATATATCAAACTTCTTCCAAAATATCTTAAATTTAATAAATTAACAAAATCATTACATACTCTAAATTACTTGTGAATTACAATATTGTAAAATTAAAAGTTATATTATTTATAATATTTTCAGAATTTTCCTAAGCTATGGAAAATTAATTAAAAGTTAGAAATAATCATTATAAATAATACTTTATAATATTTAAAGTGTTAAAAATTGTACACTGTTTAATATTTTATACTTTATAGTATTCATAATATCCCAAATTATTATTCTACGTTACTTATAGCTTTTATGAACTTATTTTCAATTATTGTTAAACAAATTTTCTTGAATTAATACAAATTAACTGATGATTAATTAAAACATTAACTATAATACATCAGACTTCTTCCAAAATATCTTAAATTTAATAAATTAACAAAATCATTACATACTCTAAATTACTTGTGAATTATAATATTGCAAAATTAAAAGTTATATTATTTATAATATTTCCTGAATTTTCCTAAGCTATGGAAAATTAATTAAAAGTTAAAAATAATCATTATAAATATTACTTTATAATATTTAAAGTATTAAAAATTGTATACTGTTTAATATTTAATACTTTACAGTATTCATAATATCCCAAATTATTATTCAACTTTACTTATATCTTTTATGAACTTATTTTCAATTATTGTTAAACAAATGTATTCCTGAATTAATACAAATTAACTGATGATTAATTAAAACATTAACTAAATTTTGTTTTCAAAAATCAACTTCCCATATAGACATCCTGATTTTTCAAAAACTACATTATGCTGTAGTTACAAATATGATTTTAATGATTATTATGATCAGAGTTCCAATTATGATACAATCTCATAAAGATTTCAAACAATATATTTTTATTCTTATTTCACTTTTAAAATCACCATTTAAACAATTTTTATTTTTCCAATTACAAACATTTCTTAAAAAAATTAACTTTCATTTTACCTTTAATTAATTTTAACTTCAACTTCAGATTTTTTAATCCATCGTCAATCAATCTCGTCACTGGTCAATTATTACTTAGAATTATTTTTTTTAGAAATAATTAACAGGATCAAGAAAAAAAAATTGTTTAGTCAGTAGCAGTACAAAGTTAAATAGAATATTAAAGCAAGAACTAATGCTTTATTGACTATTTCAGATATATTTCTCCTCAAGTTGTTTGTCGTGTCAACAGCTCATGCATAATTTATATCTTCATTCTTCTTATGCATAAAGGGTGATATTGAATGCAGGCAATACGAATCCGTGCCATTACCCCGTGAAACGAAATGCGTCGGATATAATCAGACGAAAAATTTCAAACTGACATTTTAAGTGCTTATTCCGTATTCAAAATTATTTCGAGAGCCGCCGATTGTGATTCCTCCTTTCCCGCCATGTTTTCAAAGAACACCGTTTTCAGACTTGAAAAAACTGGAGCGATTCTTTTAACCGAACGAAGGGATGGCTGAAAGTGGAAATACGCTTATTTAACGAATTATATCCCAGATTTTACAGCTCGACGAGCCATTTAAAACGCATCTCGTCGTCCTATTTCCTGCTTCAATTGAATACATTTAAGGAATTCATCGACTGGCAATTAACATTCGATGGAAACAAATTCTAGCTTTCAATCTGAAATATTTAATTATGTAATATTTATAACAAGCTTTACAAAGAAATTATTAAGAATATATAAAATTTGAACATTTTCAAAAATATTTTGAAATGAAATGAAATTATAAAATTTCAGAAATATTCAACACTTCCCCTTGGTAACACAATTTTGTCAACCATTTTCAGACGTAACAGATCATTCTTCGAACAGAAATGAATAATTCGTAGATATATTTCGGAAGCATTTCGTGAAAATAAATTCACAGGTTGTATTTCTCGATGATTCGCAATTTTCAGAGCACTCGGAGATTTACTATCACATAAAACGTTTAAAATTATTTCGACTACAATTGTTCTCTTAAATTTGCTTTGAAAGCTTTAGGTCGAAACAGATAGGAATTCTGCTTTTGTAAGACGTTTATGGATATTCGCGAACATTCTTTTACTCGGATAACATCGGCATGAATACGTGCATACGTTACCCAGAAGCCACGCTGAGCTTCTCCGCTACCCCCACTCCCACGGACACATTACTCAGTCGCGCCATCTAGGATCGTTGTCAACCTTAACGTGCCTTTAAAACGCCAAGTTAATTATCCGTGAGGTAGTTTCAACTGTTGCTCGTTTCATTGAATCCGTTTGCTATTTATCTGAAATCTCATCACTCCAATCAATCTAATCATTATATCGGTTTTAAAATAATTTTGAGATGTTGATTATTGAGAGTGGTCAAGTTTAAACCAGGCTTTTGATATAACTGAGATTCCTTTTACATTGACACTTTTACACAGTTATCATAGGACATAGAGTATGGAATATAACTAACCAGATAACCTTGTGCATAGAATTTTGTTATTTACTGAAAAGATAATACTTTTTGAAAATTTTAAGGAGAATTGAAATGATACTTCTTGGATATAACTTCAGAATGGTTCCTGATATTTTATAAAGTTTTGTATGAATATATTAAATTATAAATTTGGTCGTTTCTTGTATTACAAAATTTGATTATTTATAAATTTGTTAAATTTGACATTTAATATTTAAAATTTGTGAAATTTGCAATTTATTATTAATTTTAACATTTAAAATATTTTTAATTATTCTGTCTTCCATTTATCTTATTACATACACATAACTTTGTTGCTTGTTATTTATTTCATTGTCTAACATCTTTTTATTTTGCTATTTACTATTTATTTTACATTATTCCATTATATTTACTGTTCATTGTATTATTTAAATCTTCTTTCATTTTCCCTAATCACTATTTATTTTACTATTTAAAATTCTTCGAATTTAACTATTAAGTTAAATTTGACATTTAATATTTAAAATTTGTGAAATTTGCAATTTATTATTAATTTTAACATTTAAAATATTTTTAATTATTCTGTCTTCCATTTATCTTATTACATACACATAACTTTGTTGCTTGTTATTTATTTCATTGTCTAACATCTTTTTATTTTGCTATTTACTATTTATTTTACATTATTCCATTATATTTACTGTTCATTGTATTATTTAAATCTTCTTTCATTTTCCTAATCACTATTTATTTTACCATTTAAAATTCTTCGAATTTGACTATTTTAGTTCTTCAAAAATTTTCCCTTCGCTATTTACTGTATTCTATTTATTTTATTATTTATGCTCTTTGCTCATTTAAAAAATCGAAGCCTCATTATGCCAATACCTCTAAAAATCGTTTCACAAATACAGTCGTTTCCTGTATTATTATTTTCTATAATAATATGTCTTCCATCCGTGCTACATTTCATAATAATCTTCATTTCCATGCGAACTCAACGTGTTTTATACGTGAATACCAGGAACAGAGCATTAATCTGAATTACGATATAATTGTGATATAGACGTCAGGGTACTCCTTTAAAAGGCTAATTGGTATTGATGACACGCGACAACTATCACCGTTAACTTCGACAGAAATACACAGGCCCATTATTTTAATAGCTGATTGCAAGTATACTTCCGGTGAATCCAATCGGTAGTGCAGAGATTCGAGCATTAACGGAATGGTCGATACCGAACTTAACTTTTGGTATGAAATCGAAACTCAGCACGAAATTGCACCAAGTAATTTGTTAGCAACCGTAAATTGTACGTGTGTACGATAGTTTGCGTGGCATACGTAATAATACAAATTTACATATTAGGTGGAACGCGAGTTGCATCCTTTGCGAAAGATGAACGTTCCTGCATTACCTATACAATAGAAATTATGCTAGAAATTCTCTCGGAATATATAGGTATAACGAAGAAATAAAATGTAATACACCATCTCATATTATACATTTCTGCATTAAAAAAATTAGTTTAATTTTATATTATCATTGTTCAAATTATCTTTTACTTTGCATAAATGTATAATAAATATATTAAATAATCGCGAATTTTACATACAGAATATTTAAAATCGATTAGGATCAATTAGTAATTGAATTATAATATTAAATTTCGAAATTTGGAAATTTTTAGATCGGAGTTTAAAAATCTTGCTTTCAAAAATTATTTTTATTATTATTACTAATAAACCACATTTTATCTATTACAAACGTGCAATTGAGTATTTCATTTCAAGTTATGTAAATTAATTAATTAAATCAGTATGTCAACGTGCAAAGTTTCAAGTTTGGAATTTCATATTATAATTTCTATCTCGTTAT